TGTAGTAGGTCACACTGAAAGAACGCGAACACAGTCGGGGGAAGCTGGCACTTCCGTAAATCTCTTGCCGATTGTATTGCGCTTGCCGGCTTTGATGTAAAACCAGAAGTGAACTATAAAGACATGTACGCCGACAAACCGCTCTACCTAGGTATCACTAGCGTCCCAGTGACAGCGTCCTGCAAGATAACGTCCTGGTAGCTCTCTGCCACGATGTATACCAGCCCGAGTTGACAAACATGTGCAGTAGGCAATCTCCTACGTGCGTGGCCTCATCTCATGGGCCACAGCACTTGATATGCACTTCACTGCGTGCGGAGCCACTACACAGTGGCTAACTACCAGCACATGCTGTCATAGCTCAACTACAGAGCTTTACTCACTGTATTGCGTGGTCGTGGTTGGGCTTTCATGCCGTCACCCACTACATTATCACTACATTGCGTTGCACCATGTCTTCGCGAGCTAGAATTTTCAAATTAGTTACAAACTGCTTCATCGTTGGATGAGGCCTGAATATTTTGTTTAGTTCACGGTGGAAGTGCTCCAAGGGATTATTGGTTCGACTAACGATATCCCTTACGATATCCCGCTATATTCGATATATTCGACTAACTATATCCCGCCTCATGCCGTATACGTTCCAGAACGTAGGTGGATATGCATCCATCCAGGTGCGCTGAAAATATCCCCAAAATGTTCGCCATTTGCGTTGAGAATAGACCAATTTCTTGGCTTCACATGTTTGGCGTATGGGTTATTTGATAACGGAAGTGGTAACACAACGGCACCTGGTCACCTTGAGCGATATACTGCTCTTTTTCCTGAGATGCGCAGGCCAATGAATACACTTTGTGAAAGTGGCGATTTGGATGCAAAGAGTGCGACGGCTCTTTGGGTAGCAATGCTGGCCCGCCAGAATCAGCAACTTCCAACAACAAGTGGTAAGCGTGTTGTAGTTATGGACTCGTATTATACGCGGCATTCTTTTGCGAAGCACATCCTGCAGATAACGTCGGGCGAAATTCGTGTGGTTGGTACGTGCTGATCGAACTATGTGAATAAATGGTCGAAAGCTACAGTTGAATCTGCTGTCGTTGCTTTGGATGGTGCCGACCACGGGTCTTGGAAATTGGTTGCAGCTATTGAGCCCGTGGACAACGTGAAGGAAGCTGAAAAGGCACACAAGCAGAATCAAAAGCACTTGAAGAAGTCTGAAAAGACCCCATTTGTACCGCAGCTGCAACGTTCGCCACACGCAGGATACATCGTTTTTCGTGACAAGAGAGTTGTGCTATTTTACACGAACGACTTAGCCGTCACCCCATTAGAGGATATTCTGGATGGTAGCGCGCCAGAGGCCCAGGCATGCTGTCGTGGTATCAGCTTCGTGCAGCGATGGACGGGAACAAAGGTATTTCGACGGTCTAATGTCCGTGCTCCGACTCACGTCGCTATCTACAACAAGTTCATGAACGATGTTGATAGATTTGACCAGATGCGTAGCACCAACCCAACGCGACGTCGGGGAAAACGCTTACATATGAGCATATTCACCTGGCTGCTCGATTTAGCAATTCACAACGCCTTCACGCTTTCCCAAACGTTTTCGGATGGCAATGGGACTGGGAAGAGTATACGGTCTGCAAAAGAGGAAATTGTTGCTGCACTCGTGTCTGCTTAGCGCCAGCATATGCAAGTTCTAAGACAGCGAGCTACTCACCGTCAGCCTATTGAGGAAGTCATCGGTAGTGATTCTTCACAGCATATGTTGACTCGCAGTCGAGGCAAGCTTCTTTGTATGCTGTTGTAGTAGGCGGCAGGTGTTGTGCCGGACGAGCATGGTGACGCGGGTGACGCGTAGTGAGTCGGCTCTGGATGGTGGCGACTGTGAAGACTACCTCGAGGCAGACGTTGAAGTACCTCGAGGCGGGATTTGAGCGCACGCTGGAAGTCTACGTATACGGAGAGAGAGGAGGTTGAGCGAGGAGCAGTGAGCTCACTTAGCTTTTTGACGAAGCGCGAGGACTTCGAGACCAGCGAGGAACTCGGGACGACTTGGAGTGCTGCGGTGAGTGATTGGCGTTGGTGCGCACGGCGAGACTCCACGTGGTACGGGGTTCGAGCTGAAGTTCGCGGCCGACACAGTGAGGGGCGAGGCGGAGAGTGGCAAGGAGACGAGCGAGTGAGCTACTGGGCTCTGGACGGCGTGGAGCGACTGCACTGTCGGACTGAGGAAGCGGAGCCTACAGCGACGGTGGGAGCAGCGCACTGCGTGGGAAAAGGAGGTGGTAGTGTGAGCGAGCGGAGTCTAGTGATTGAGAGTGTGTGAGAGTGAAGAGTGTTGAGAGGGAGGAGATTGAGCGAAGAGCGGAGTTGGTCGAGCAGTTAGTGTGGTAATAAAGTAGGATCTAAGGCCGTGTGGAGTGCCGAAGATCCGGCGCAGTGACTGAGTGAGTCACTGTCGGCCAGTGAAAGTGTTTGTGTGCCCCATTGAAGCGGGAACGACGGACGCAGTGGGGCTATACGATTTGCCTAACGAGCCAGGCAAGATAAGTGGCCCAGTTACACTGTGCTCGATAAGAGGTGGAAAGAACCGTGTCAAGTACGCATGTACGCGATGCGGACGTGGATATCATGTTGAGTGTTTCATGGCTGTTCATTACAAACACATGATGACCGAAAACACAGCAGTGGTGGAGGTCCTGGAGGCCGTCATTCTTACCACCAGCGGAATGCCATTGACTAAAACCAGACACAGGAACAACGCCAGCATCATAATGTCCTCCGAGATTGAATTGCCAGCATTAGTTCGAAGTAGGCCACAAGCCAGGCAAAATAAAAGGCCACGGCTTAGTCCAGCAGTTTAGATAACTGCCAAATTATACATCGCCTCACCTCCTGTTCGTTCAGTCGTACCACCTCGCCCTGATCTCGCGCATCACGCACTCGGGCACCCGAACATTCGTGTCTTCACGAGACTTCCGAACTTGAGATAGACGTACATCTGACAGACTGCCATCCGAATCTTCTTCATTGGTGCTGTACCCGAGTTATCTCTCACCCGGTCTCCTTGTGCTACTAGTAGCTCTTGTAGCGAAGCCCAGTCACATGGCGTTCCGCCACAGATGCCGCAGATGTCCCCGCTGCTGCTGCTACTGCTGTCGCTGGATTCACTGTCACTATCACCGCTCATTAAAAAATGTCTTCCCCCCTCTGCATCAAGATATCACCTCCACGTGGTGCCGTGGTGGAATCTGATTTGATAATCTACCAGTAGTGGGCGAAATGATTGGTCGATTAGAAAGCCCTGTTTGGGACTCTAAAAACCGCTCAGGTCTTAAAGGGTTAAGACTAGGATGAATCGGTTACAAAACGACCATGAATAGCACTTACAGTGACCGGATGTGTTGCTATTAATAGGCATGACCTAGATCAATTGATTACGTGATCTACGCTATGCATGCGTGACCAATTCAGCACTTTTGAGCGTGACCAGATGTCAAAATTGACTTGTTTTATGGGATTCGAAGACAGCGACATGTTGTACATATAATAATCAGGAAGGATGGCGCTTCTTGATCCTCCTCTGTCTCGAACACTGTCTTTTGGCGGGCTTCCAGAGCCTAACAGACAGGTGCGTTCTATATGGTAGTGGTGTTCCTGCTATTTGGTGCAGCAGTAATTATACCAGCTTGGAGATGATGGCACACCCACGGCAATTGACTGTTGGCTGCTGGTTACTGCAACCGCTTGTTTTTATTCACGACAGTGTCGACGTCAGCTATGACGGAGTTTAATCCAGAAGGCAATACACAAGTATACATAATAGTGGGATAAAAGCACGAATTTATTTGTAGTTGAAAAAAAAGGAAAGTCAAGGGTTGTAGGCTTCTTAACGAGTGCCGGTCACTATTGAATCATCATACCGAAGACTCTGATTTGAGTCTGAACCCTTCAACATGAATCACAGTCATGGACTTAAGGGGCAACCCCATGGACTCTGAGCGTACTACAGCTGCCACATTCTCTGCGCTACACATCCACGCGGCCTTAACATTGGCTTTCGCCCATCGATAAATGTTCGCGCAGTCCTCGTTTGTCACTTAGACTTCGACTTGTCGGTGGTGTTCGACTTCGCTTCCTTCGACGACTTAGCCTTCGATTCCGTCTTGTTTTCTGTCTCGACTGACCACAAAATCCTTCTTACCATCGTTGTCGTCAACACTAGGTGTAGCAACCTCGTAGCCAAAAGTATTCAAGTTGCCACAGTCGTAATCATAGAGTAGCCATAGCCGTTGCTAGGACATTGAGCGAGTAGGAGTCAGGTGGTTCTCATAGTTGTATCACCATCAAGCCCTGAATGGCACAATACTTAGAAAACTGATCCATTCACTTGGATATTCTCGTACTGGTATTACGTTCAAAAATCGCTTCAGATACATAGCATTTTCCACTCTCGCTTAATTCAGATCTAGTATTTTGCGAATCTCATAGACACTTTCGCGGAAGTGACTCATTCCTTACTATACAACTTAAAGTGCATTTAAAATATGCTAACTGACTTGGAATCAACCGGGAGGTCTTGAATACCATTTTATTGGTGCGTCGGGTCGGCCACGTCGACATTTCCTTCGTTGCCATTTGCTCTTTCGTCAGCTGTGCCGTCGATACGAGCCGCCTCTTGCACAAAGTTCAGCAGCCGCTGTTCGAGACCGGCGAACGGCAGCTCATCAATAGTCTTGACCGTGAACGCGTTCTCGTAATAAATATCCTTGCCGTAGCAGCGCTTGAATTGCGGGAAATACCGCCCACCATTGGCTCCACGAACGTCATACTCTTCCAGATCCACTTCGCCCATACGGAAATCTTGAATATGGGCCCAAACTTTTTCACGATTCTCACTCGAAAGTTTCTCCTGATTGCGGTGCAAGAAGACAATTTCTCGCTCCGGATCGTGCTGTACCATCGTGACACCACAGAAAATATTCTGATCGGGTAGTTTAAGACCCGCTGAGCCAGGTGGGGTCTCGATCATGTAGAAGGAACTAGCCGTTTTCAGCCACGCAAAGCGGAACAAATCCTTGTCTCCCCAAACAAGACGAAGACGCTCAAAGATGCTTGGGTTAAATGCGTAATACATCAAGACGTTGAGCGCCTTCTGGTGCATACTGCGGTCAATAAGCACCTGACCGGATTCCTGTTCGAACATGTCGACAGGCTGCAAATCGAAGACCTCCCACACGAAACTGGTGGGCTGGATATTGAAAATGGTCTTCTTTGACCGCCAGAAATCTGGCCAGAAAATGGCTCCGTCTTTCTGGAATTCTGGCGTGTCAAACAGATACGTGGGGTCCCGTACTGCAAAATTATCGGCGTCAAGGAGCAGAATCTGGTTAAAGGCGCTGTAAAAAACCGCGTACGTCTTGGTGTAGAATCTCGAAGCTCGAGGATCTCTGATTTCCCGCATGTAAGCTCCATACCGTCCCGTTAGCTCACTTAAAAGTGGGTGGGACGGGTTGGTTTCGGAGCGTTTGTACCACAATTCAACGGGTAAAGTGCAGCCCATACTTCTCAGCGAACGTACCGAGGCGTACACACTTTGTAACATTTTCTCGTACACCACCAAGACGATTCCTCGTTTGTACGACGAGGGCGGGGTTGTAACAATAGACGACTCTTTTCTTAATTGCGGGATATCCCTCACTGGAGCCGTCGTGCGTGACAGTTCGACGCCTCGACGGATCTTGTCGACCATGTCGCCATCTGCCACTTTCGGCTTCTCGTTCGCTGCCGCTGCGGCAATCAGTTGGTCCTCTACTAGCTGCTTTCGACAAGTTTCCATTGAGAATGTCTTGTCGTGTACATATTCCGAGGCTTTACGTCCATAACCCAAGAAAGTTGCAAACTCGTCGCATTTGAATGCAACATCCGGACGCAACGAGTTGCAGTGCATTTTCATGACTTGATGCACTTCTCCCGTTGTTTTATGCCGGATTTCGCAGTATCCGCTCTCTCCGTTGTGAACTGTGGCGTTGCAGGCTCTGTCATTGGCTGGATCGTCTCCTCCATTGGGTGAGCAGTCACGTTGCGCTTTCCAGCCAACACACTCAAAGTTACGCAGGTTATCCACTGCGTTATCGTCCTCTGCTGGCTGCTGCATCAGTTCCAATTGGCCTCGAGCGTCGTGGTTGTTCGTGCCGTGAAGACTGCGCACTGCTAAGCGTTGCAACTGCAGATCGCGCTGCTGGATGAGCGACGCCACGCAGATGAGCCCCAGTGCGCAGCTCATGACAAGGAGGAAGAAGAAGGCGAACATCTTGTTGTGTTGCATGCGACTACCACTGCACAGCCCCTTGGGCTGCTTGGAGTCCTGCACCGGCATGGATAAACTCTCCGCTTTTTGCATGGCAAATTGTTTTTCTTTTTGTATCTGAGCTTTAGACACAAGCGACTCCGGCCTACAGGAGCAAACGGCGAGTGGCAAATGGAGTGGAAATTCCACCTCTGCACTATTTCTGCACTCTCGTGCGTCACTGTGGGTGAAGTTTAACGCGAATTTGACCAATGGCGACACAGAGATGAACATCTTTCGACCAATGATATTGTGGATGCACACGTTGCTTCAGTTTTTTACCAGCTGTTTTATGATCTGGATGTGGCTGCTTGGTTCGAAAAGCTACTGACCGGTCTATGCTTTTAGTATTTGCGAAAATGACTTGGCAAATTATTGTCACTGGCAAATTTCGCAGTGCTTCTTGAGTGCTTGTCTCCATTGTGCCACACGTTGTTGCTGTTGTACATTGCTGCCAGGGTGGGTGGGTCCCAAGAATTCGTCTCCACCAATTCTATCGTCGACAATAGTTCCGGTTGAGTGTGGACAGGTGTCGGCGTCGCAGCCACAGGTACTCCGGCTTGGCGGCCAGCTGGAGATTCGCGTCTCACGACGATCGCTCGTGCTATCATTTGTGGCACTCCAGCCTGAAATTCAGGTCGTTCCCAACCACCACGCTGTTTGGAGACGCCAAGCCATCAGCGTGCAAATCATTGCCAGGATTCGCCGTGGTGTCGTGATTCGATCGAACTTCGATCGATTCGTGACACACAAGTTGTGAGCGGGGCACATCGTGGCCTACAATGTCGATCCGGAGGTGACGATCATGCGCTACGTGTCAACTGGTTCCACTAATTTCACGTGAAAAAGCACCCAGCCATCGATTCCACTACTACGGAGGTACGATTCATAATGGACACTACGCATTAACACACAACCGGGAATAAAGGATTCCCTCATCTGGATGCCAATTCGGCAAAGGTTGCAAATCGATATGCTTACCAAACGCAAGGACCAGCATGCTCTATAAGACTCTACGCAAGTCCTCGAGCAATTTCTACATAACGTCAGGTTTAGAATATCCAGGCGTGGTTGACCGACAACTCGACACGAATTATTGCGCCGTTTTACAAGAGCACGAATGCTGACAGGCCCACTCTGGTCACCACTTCAGAACTTGCCTGCTGTCAGCGTCCTCGTCGAAAAATCTGGACTCCTCTGTAGATTTTTTTTCCCCCTAATAAAAGCTTTTATGCTATTTGTCTCGACTGCAGGCGAGTAATGGCGCACTATGGATTTTCCTACTCCTTCTATGACTCGGCGTACGTTAATTAACGCTCACTGTTTGTTGGTTTCTTCGGTCTGTTCCTCATCCTTCTCTTCATACCCAGCAAGTCGAAGCACTTCTGCGCCAGCCGCAGCAAACCGCAAGAGATCGTCCTCAAGGTTCTCAAAGGGAAAGGCACTCATCGGCTTAAGTGTGAAGAGTTTCTCGTAGTGCACATCTTTGCCAAAGCAGCGCTTGAATTGCGGGAACACTTTGCCGCCATTAGCACCACGCACGTAGTAGTCCGACAGTGCAGACGTGCGTTTGTACTGCTGGATATGCGTCCACAGAATCCGATTATTCGAGTACGTCAGCTTTTCAGTGTTACGATGAAGGAAAATCACCCGCCCGCTCGGGTCGTGCTGTACCATAGTCACGCCGCAGAACAGATCGTAGTCCGGATGTTTCGTTCCAGCCGAGCCCGGCGGTCGTGGCGTCATGTGGAACGTGCTCTTGGACTTGAGCCACGCGAACCGGAACAGATCTTTGTCGCCCCACACAAGCCGCAACTCCTCGTGTGCTCGAGGCAAAGAGAAGCCGTAGTACATGAGCACATTGAGCGCCTTGTAGTGCATCCGGCGGTTGATCATCACCTGGCCACTTTCCTGTTCAAACATATCTACGTACTCCAGTCCAAAAAAGTCCCATACGTAGCTGTTCTTATGGATGTTGAAAATGGTGTTGCCAGGTTTCCAAAAATCCGGCCAGAAGATGGCGCCTGTGTCCACGAACTCCTGTGTGTCGAATAAATAGTTGGGGTCGCGCACGGCAAAGTTGTCGGCGTCCAGTAGCAGCACGTTGTCGAAAGCGCTGTAGAAGATGGCGTACAATTTCGTATAGAAATGAGTTGCCAGCGGGTCTTCGATCACGCGCAGATACACGCCAAACTCGTCCACCATGAGCCGCAACAGCGGATGTTGCACGTTGGTTTCCGACGTCTTGTACCACATTTCAATGGGCAACGTGCACCCCAAGGCACGCAGCGAGCGCACGCTGACATACGCTCCGAGCAGCAGCTTCTCATATATGACAAACACTACGCCGCGGTCGAATGACAATTCCAGTTGCCCAACACTCTCGTTTTTCAACCCGTCATCGCCAAGTGGGACGGGCGTGTTTGACAGCTTATTGGTCGCCCGGAAAGCCTCTTGGGCTTGAGTATACGAGAAGTTGGGGTCGTGTTCGTAGTCAGTTGACAGGATACTGTAGCTCAACAGACTCTGGAACATATCGCACTTGAACTGCACGCCTGGGCGCAAGGAATCGCAGTGCATCTCCAGCACGCGATTCAGCTCGCCTGTGCGTGTATTACGCACCTCGCAGTAGCCGGACACGCCGTTGGAGACCAATTCCGAGCAGTTCTTGTCGTTCTCAAACTCGCGGTCCCCCGTTGGCGTGCAGTTGGTCGTTTGTCTCCAGCCGACGCACTCGTAGTCGCCCAGATTGCTCAGTTCCTGCTTCGTTACCAAGTTCTTCACTTTGGTCTCGTCCACAGACGTGAACATGTGCGAAAGACGCTTAAGTTTGGCCAATACCTGGTTCTCCTTCCACACGGCAAAGAGGCCGCGCTGGGTGCTGTCTCCGCCGCTCACTTCGTTGTTAGAAATACTCCCGTCCTGCACCATGCGCCCCAGCGTCACGAGACACACCATGCAGATCACAAAGGCGACGATAAATAGCGCCCACAGCAGGTTCCACGTGCGTCGCTCCGTCAGTAAGACGCCCTTCCTCTTGCCTGGCGATGGCTCCTTCTCGTCGCCGCTGCGGTTGCGACTGCCGCGCCTTACGAACGGCTTCTTGCGTGGCGCATGACGGCCACTCGCACCGCCCACGTAGATGGGCAACGGCGTGCCCTTACGCCCGGCACCGTGCTCCGGCATCGACTAGACGCGTTGACCTCGAGCTACTTTGAAGGGCGATTACGAGCGATTTACGCGTCGTTGGGGAGGAATTCTTGCACGTGCAGATAGAGGAGAGGGCGCTGAAGAAACACAGACTGGGTTCAGTCCGTGACTCGGTGTCGGAGAGCTGAGGTGGGCGGCGGACAAAAGGCGATGGCCAAGATGACGCTCGTCGATTTCTCGAAGGGGGTGGGTCGCTTGAGGCTATTGAGTTGCACGAAGAGGAGTTGTGTTGCAGTAAGGATTGAGTTGCGTAAATTCAACGTGTGATTGGCTGGAAAATGGAAACGTTTTCATGATGATTAAAACAGCGATTCATTCTGCATCTATTGTTTTTTTCATTCGCTGGATGTTTTTATTAGAAAACATTGTTACTTTTTGTGAAGAAAGTAATATAGGTGTATACTACACTTTTTCTGGATCAAATTGACATCAACACGAAAACAAAAAACAGGAGAGCAAGGAAAATGTCGCCGACAAGCCTAAGGACAAGTGAGGAATCCGAAGCGTGCGTGAAAAGGGTCGTAAAACGATGTAAGCCTGCGATGAATGTGTTGCATAAAGAAAGTGGCAGCTGCAGTAATACAAAGTCAATGGATGTGACTCACAACAACATGCAGTTGATGTTGAAATATGGCAGCATGGAAATTTCTTATATGCCCGTTGCTGATGCCAAAAAGTCAAGAATGAGCCAGTTATGATACATAAGCTTTGAGTAAATGAAGTAGAGCCGTGATCTTTCCATCCGTGCCGAGCCAATCCAGTTATTCGTCACAGCTTTGATAGTAAGCCTGGTTCGAGAGCACGTGCATCTAACTCCGCTGTTTTTAGTGAAGAATTGATAGATAATCATCGTCAATGTTGCTGGAGTCGAGCAAACATTACACTATTAGATAATCGAGAGATGGTAAAGGAGGTGAAGTTGGAAATAAACGACTTGAACTGAGTTATCAAGTGGCATAAACACGCTTTGGGTGTCCTGGTTACCACCGCTATCATACGTTGCCTAGCAATCGTAAGAACTTAGCACAGCAGCAGCACCCCAGCCACAATCACCACCAAAGCCGCGATCGAACTAATAGCCTGAATACTGGCACCAGAAGTTGTCGACACATCCGACGCCGGAGTATCGCCGGCTGCAGCACTAGCACTAGCACTAGCACCAGCACTCACTTCGGTCTTGTCGTTTTTGTTATCACCGGTACTGGCCGTCGGGATTGAAGTCGTAGCGGTGGCTGCATCAGTCGTTGAAACTGTATCACTGCTGTTGCCGTCGTTACTGTTGTTACTCACAGTAGGCGCAGCGGTGGTTGTGCTCGGGGTTGTTGTGGTCGTACTGGTTGAGGCCGTCACTGAGCTCGGAGACGTCGTCGAGTGAGACGTGGACACCACCTTACCCCCGCACGTCTCCACCATACCCTGCACCACTTCCTTGTAGTTCTGACCGTACGGACCACCGAACGTGCAGTCCGGCAAGGTGTCGACATAATCGGACACAGCGTCGTGGCACGTGGAGTCGCAGGTCCAGACGCCTCCGCTGGAGAGGTAGGCTGCCCAGCTGGCACAGTTGGTTTGGAGCGTCTGCACGGCAGCAGCGACTTTGGAGTAGTTGTCTGCGTCACAGTTCGTGGCGTTGGCTTGTCCGTGGAGTGCGAGCGTGGAGGTGACTGTGACGAGAAGAATCGAGGATCGGATGGAGACCATGGTGTTTTGGGGAAATGGAAGTTTTGTTTCGCTGACGTAGTTCGTTGGTTGTGGTGCTGCTGAGAAGGCAAATTGAATTGTGTGATGAGGTCGACATCCTTCGTGCGCTTAGTCCGTAGACAACAGCAACGAAACCATACGATGTCTACTGCGTTTACCACTTATTGCACTTTGCTGCTATACAAATGCTGCAACTATCGGGCTTGGACTTTCGACTTTGGGTGCTAACACTACGTCAAATCCCCTGGTTGGCAGATTTTTTGTTGATTCATTCTCGAGAGCAGGAATGTTATACGAGGTTAAAGCAATGAGCACCACCAGATCATGTCCATTTTATCGTCTACATGAATTTCCCGCCCTTTGAATGAAAGTCTCAAGGATAAAGTGTTGATGCTCGCCGAGAGATACGATATGGAGGAAGATTTGACTTGAATCAAGATATTAATATGCTTTTATAAGTTAGACCACAAGTTGTGGCAACAAGCTGTGGCGATTTGCTTAGGCGAATCAGCAAAAAGATTGTGCTCTCCATGAGTCAAATGGGTACGCTACGTGGGGCTGTCTGCACTTCTTGTGTTGATCAAACTTGATTGAAGCTGGTGATTCGTCTCTCAGCTGCAGATTTGTCGTTTGTCCCATGGTTCTAAAAGTTTGGCAAACTCCCCTGAACGCCACAAAGATCACCTTTTGGGGTGAAGTGATCAATGAGTCAAATCACAGGCAATCATCGCTAGATATTACACCGCAGTAATACCTTGTCTGCCTCCTGCAGCTAGTTAACATGTAATGTCGGGTGTCGCTAGCAACGAACTAAATTGGCACCATTATCGCGTTCTAGCTTGTTGAACTATCCATAATCAACCCCCATAAATGAGCGTGCTTGCTATTTTTTTTTTTTAGTATTTGAGCGTTCTCCATTCGTTCTTACTTAGCATCATCACGTGGCACAGACATCCGGTGTTACAACACGAACAACAAAAACTATATCTATCACCTGGCCGTCATCTACAATACTCCATTCCTGTTCTGGAGGATGAAATATCCCTCAAAGCCACACAATTCAATTTGCCTTCTCAGCAGCAACATAACCAACGAACTACGTCAACTGAAACAAAACTTCCATTTCCCCAAAACACCATGGTCTCCACTCGATCCTCGATTCTTCTCGTCACAGTCACCTCCATGCTCGCACTCCACGGACAAGCCAACGCCACGAACTGTGACGCAGACAACTACTCCACAGTCGCCGCTGCCGTGCAGACGCTTCACGCCAACTGTGCCAGTTGGGCTGCCTACCTCTCCAGCGGAGGCGTCTGGACCTGCGACTCCACGTGCCACGACGCTGTGTCCGATCTGGTCGACACCTTGCCGGACTGCACGTTCGGTGGTCCGTATGGTCAGAACTATAAGGAAGTAGTGCAGGGTATGGTGGAGACGTGCGGGGGTAAGGTGGCGTCCACGTCCGACTCGACGACGTCTTCGAGCTCCGCCACGGCCTCAAGCGCAAGTACACTGGTCATCAGCACGACTACTGCCGTGGCGCTGGTCGCGTTGCGTACCTTGTTATAACTCCAGAATACACGTATTCACAGATCAGTGTTTCGCATGCTTAATCGAAGGATTAACTTCAGATGGGTCAACAAACGTTATCATCGTTGGTGTATTTTGTGAAGTGCCTTTCTCACTCCACGCAGAGTATTACGTTCGGTCGCCCGCAGTCCGACTCACTCAAGAGAACCAGCGACCTGCAGCCTCGGTGGCTGGTAAGGGCGGCACAATATTGAAGCCTTTCAGTAGGACGGTCTTTTCGTCGGTGAACGCCTGCATGACACTCGTGTCATTACAGACCACCGCAAGCTTGCCCTCCCAATGGCTCGTGACTAGGAACTTCTGGAGTGTTCGGAGTGCCACCTGAGCACCTTTCACGCAAGGGACGCCCAGGTTGCCTGTCGAGATAGACACCATCGCGATGCACTGGAGGTTTTCATCCACCGCACAGTTGAGAACGCTTGTGTACGTTTGAGATAGCAGCTCATAGCAATTGACCGTGCCGACACTGGGGCCAACACAATGGATAAGCTTTTCCACACCAGTGTCGAAGCCAGGAGTGACGACTGCAGAGCCTACCGGGAGCCATCCAGCTCCGTTAGCGAGTCCTTCACGGAAAGATTGCTCGCTGACGAACCGGTCAAGACCATGTCCAGCCCGACGGAACACCACACTCGCAGCTCCGATATGAGGGTTCACTAGGTATGAGCTCGTTGGAAACGCGATTCCGTCCAGAGGAGTGTCGTTAATGTTGTTTATACGTCCAACATCCCCCTCCACGATAGTCACCGTATCGTCAAAGCGCTTCCAATCATCAAGAGACTGCATGAATTCGTCCAATTCAACACACGCAAGCTTCCTATTGCCAACCGACCAGCTACGACTTTGTGTGGAGCAGCGCTCAACTCGAAGCGCTGGGTCTCGCAGACCACCAAAGTGCAGCTCGGACAATTTCGCCCAGAGTTCAGAGTCTTGTAGATATTCACGAAGTTTAGTCGTTGCTTGAATGATGTTGACGAAAGCGCTGATACTCGACGCATCCAAGTAATAGAGAATCGAGTGAGCGACCCCCTCCACAGCCCAAACTTCCGTACCAGCGGATACAGACGACGTGACAGTGTTACTAGCTGGAGTCATAATCGCGAGTTGGAGATTCGTTGAATGGACTTTGAATTGAGACCAAAAGTATTCGTGAACCCAATTATTAGGGTGACCTTCACTCTAGTACGCTAACTGCAATTCGAAACAGTAAAAAGTAACGAAAAAGTAAATAAATGTTACGCATCTGTAAAATATTAATAAAAGTACTAGCAAGTATGGAAAATTAACTCTTCGAATCTACCGTCGCTAATGGGAGCTGAGAGGCCGTTAAAGTCTGTCCATTGACGAGCCGAACGTGCAGCGTCCGTCAGTTGGGGTCCTGGGTCTCACCGATCCTTTTTGTTACGTCGAGCATGTACCCATACTCCAACGTGTTGGTACAGTCAAGTTTGACGCTGGTTCCGTTTAGGGTGTCTGCAACAGGGGGTAAGTATTTCTGGTACTTGCCTTGATGCCAGGTTGTTACGGCTAGAATTGTTGGGCTCTCGAGGACGAAGCTGTCGAGCCAAACGATTGTTTCGAGCCACAAATGACGGGACTCGATACCCCAGCCGTTGCTGTTCTTCGGCAAGTACCAAGCGTACATGATCGCCCACTTGTCAGTGAACCGTTTAGCTCGGCCGTATACCTGGGATTCAACACTGGGTCCATTGCAGCTCTTACTGTCAGGACCGGAAGATGCTAAATCGTCTCCTGTATTTCCATCTTTATCCACCACAGGATACGGAAAACAGCCCCCATTTGTGTGAACTACCTGTACCTGTTCAGGTGTGTACTGCGCCGCCCATTGCGTGCTTGTTCTGTATATTGGCGATCTGCTTCGCAGGCAAGCAACAACCTCTTATACGGCTATTTAACAAAAGGAGTTTGGTACATCCGAAACCTCTATTCACAGAAGATGCCGGCGTTCAATAGACCCTGATATATGAGTAGCAATAATCTTCATTTGGAAAGATGCAAAGAAGAACACGTAAAGTGCCGTCGACCCTGTCAACGACATTGTTGATCTCGAATTTTAGTGCTTTAATGGCAATCAAAAGTGATGGTATTAACGATTTTTTGCATCTCGAGCCTTAGCATACCAGTTTGCAGCTATGTCCCAGGAGTGCGTTTTTCTATAGGATGGAAAGCGACAACAACTTGCTACTGTAGTTTCAATGAACAAGACCAAAAGCGACAATCGAAAAAGGAATCAACACGACGTCTTGTTTACACTAGAAGAAACGAGGCATTATCTTCCATTGAAACGAATTCACATGATGCTTGTTCTGGACTTCACACTCTTGTCGCCGATAGGTCGGCCTAGTATTCGGCACCTCATTCCTACTTGGGCTTCGACCTGTAGATCTGAATCAACTTGTTCAGTTTCTTTTGGTACTTCTTCATCACGTCCGGGCTTAAACGGCTAAAGTATCCAATGTCGTTCATGGCTTTCTCGACATCAATTCCAAGTTTTTTTTATCCAAAGCGTTAAGGCGCTCAGGAGGGATGTCCTTGATACCTCTTTCTTCGGATTCAGCGGATGTGGTGTAATGGGTCCTCAGAAGACGACGGTCGGCATAATTGGAGTCGGCAAGGGCTTCGCTGGTAACCAGGAATGTAGCCGCTATCGTTACGAAAACGAAAGATAGACGCATGGGTCTGCCGACCGGAGAGAGTCTTAGGAGCTGGAGCACAAATTGGGAAATGACATTTGAATCAAGCACACAATGCTGACACCTCGCAGTGCGGTACACACACGCCCAAGAATGCGTACCAACGACGGTGCGATAAATCGTTTACGATCACCATCCTGTAAGTTGTCGTCAGAATCGGATCAGTCCTTGCGTACATCCATCCATCTTGTACTTTGATCGGTTGTCATATCATACATGCAGTACCTAGCAAATACTGATGTCGCTGCGCGGCGGTACGTAATCACTCAGGCATATTCACAGAATGAATCTACCAAGTACTGATTTCGCTCCGTTGCGGTACGTAAACACTGGAACACAATCACAGTATGAGCCTCATAGTTTAGCATTTATCATCGTCGGGACACAACAAGTTGCTACAGAAAGATAACTTCCACAGCCATGCATCTGGGCTATGCTCTTCTACTAGTAGTCACGACATTCCTCGCCTGTGTCAGTGCCTCCCTGACATCTGATCTCCCAACAGTGTTTCAGCCTATTGCAGATGAGGTGAACGCTTTCTCCTCATCCAGACTGCTACGGTCGCATGAAGAGCGAGGAATTCCGGTCTCCACAATTGGGAATATTAAGAGCAAGTTCATGCCGTCGACAATCTCGGAGAAAACACTGCGCGGTTGGCTAAATGGAAGGGAAAAAGCAGACGATGTGTTCGTTTGGCTGAGTCTGGGCCGCGGAAAGGGTGAATTATTCAACAAGCGGAAATTTGGTACGTGGGTCAAGTACGTCGATGATTTAACCAAGCAGCATCCTGGAAGTGGAATCTCGACGATCTCAAAGTTAACGTCTTACTACGGCGACGAACACTTGTCACAAATGATCATCACCGCACAGAAGAACCCAAAAACCCAGGATTTAGCTGCTGATCTGCAGGCTAGGCAACTTCAGTACTGGCTGGATAACAAAAAGGCACCAGCGAAAGTCTTCAAGCTGCTGGAGCTGAACAAGGCGGGTGGCAATTTGGTTGACAATCCTCAAGTCTCCGCTTGGCTAAGTTATGTGGCTGATTTCGAGACGAAATTCCCAAAGCAATCGGAAAAAGCCATTCCGATGTTAACGCGTCGCTTCGGCGATGAAGCGGTGTCGAAGGCTTTGCTTAAGGCAAAGCAAACTCCCGGTACTGCGAGTATCGCGGATAAACTGCACGGTGAGCAAATCCAGCGTTGGCTGGATACTGCAACGTCTCCTAAAGATGTTTTCAAGTTCCTGACACTCAATAAGGCAGGTGAACAACTTCTCGAAAACCCGCAGTTTGCAACTTGGCTAACGTACGTGGACGATTTCAATACGAAAAATCCACCGATATCGAGAATTTCGGTCGTGGCGAGTTCCTACGGCGATGAAGCACTCTCAAAGCTCCTGCGTGAGGCGAAGCAGGTACCAAGGACAGCAAATATCGCCAATAAACTAGACGGAGAGCTAATCCAGCATTGGACGGACACTAAAACGCTCCCTAAAACCATGTTCAAGCTCCTGGAACTCAACAGGGCAGGTGATAAACTGTTAGAAAACTCACAGTTTGCAACATGGCTAACCTATGTGGACGATTTCTACTCGAGAAATCCTCGGAATCCGAGAGTTTCGATCATGACGAGTTACTACGGCGACGAAGCGTTGACACGTCTGCTAATTAAAGCAATGCAGACTCCAAGTGAAGCAAATATCGCTACTAAACTCCACGAAGAGCAGCTTCAGAGTTGGATATATAGTCGGAAGCTGCCTGGAGATGTCTACAAGCTCTTATCGCTGGACAAGGCAGGTGAAAAACTGTTTGATCACCCACAGTTCATGAAGTGGGTGAAATACGTGGAAGATCTTAACAAGGTACATCCCGACAAGAAAACGACTTTAATGTCGGTTTTGGCTAAGCAGTACGACAGTGAAGGGTTGGTAAAACTGCTGCAATCGGCGAAGAATAACCCCAGCTGGGCGAAACTGGTACAGCAACTGGAGACAGAGCAGAAGTGGATGGCGAAAGGAACGCCCAACGACTATTTCAAGCAACTCAAACTCGATAAGGTGGGAAAAGATGTGCTGAGCAACCCGCAACTCAAGACCTGGCTCAACTACGTGAAGGAGTACAACGCAGCGAACCCTAAATATCAGGCCACACTGATTGGGACATTGGCGGCGAATTATGGAGAAATGAAACTGGTAAAAATGCTCGATGAAGCGATGAAGGTGAAAGATACGGCGAGTGCTGCCAAGAAACTACAGAGCGAGTTATTCCAGCGCTGGATACAACTAAACTGGACTCCGGAGTACATCTTTGCCAAGGTGCTCCGTCTTGACCAAGATGGAAATAAGCTCTTTAGAAATCCGCTGGTGACCACGTGGGGAAAATATTTAATTGCTTTTAATCGGGATAATTACGGCAAGGAAACGACGATATGGAGGATGTTGGCGGCTACGGGTATAGACCCCGACGACTTGAGACCTGTGGCTGACAAAGCTCCAGAACAGTTTTTCGCTATGATGGGACTCACCGATAAGGGACACAACTTACTGATAAGCCCTGAATTCGCCAAATGGATTCACTACCTCGATGACTTCTACGACGAGCTGCGTAATTCGCGTAAAACCATGATGACGACATTACGCAACCACTACGATGACAAATCGTTGGTAAATATGATCACATCAGCCTCGAAGGTCTCAAAAACGAAGGATATTGCTAAAATCGTGGAGTTCGAGCTGTTTAAAACCTGGCATGACATCTCTTATAAGACGACGGACGAAATCTTCACGATCCTCAACCTTGACCGAGCAGGATCATCACTATTCACCGGTCCTTGGTTGGACACGTGGATTCGGTACATGATTATGTTTGACGAAGGATATTTCCGCGATCGCATGCCCAAGATGCTTTTGAAATACTACGACGAGAATGATCTGTCACAGATGATCAAAACGGCAAAGAGCAATCCAAACACAGAAAAACTGGCCTCGGAGATCGAGGATGTGCTAAACCTTTACAAGAAATGATTGCAATCTAAACGTACTCCGCAAGATAAATCAATAACAGACTGATTTCCCTGTTTGTACTACGTAAGTAGTAGGGACAGCCCAATTGGGATTAATTCGGAACCTCCTTGGTGTGGACGCCTTGATTTTTGTGCATACAAATTTCTAATGAATGACCTTTTAAAATAGTTATTTTTTGTGTCGATATTTTAAGGCTTACTATTTCACGCAGGCAAAATCACTGATATTTCTAACATGATAACCAACAATTGCATTATAATTCAATTTTTCTTTTAAAAAAAAAACTCAACAGTGCCGTGCTTTCGCCGGTAACAGCTCTGGATTTTAACTTTAAAGTGTTATAATAAATCATTTCTTAGTCCCTTTTTGGGAGAACGAGATTATATTGCTCCTTATCTCGCGGTATTCACAGGTCAAATCTAGAGCGAATATTTATGGAAAAACGCCGATTTCCATTGCCAATTGCCCGGCAAGGATATTGGCAATATCAGCAGTTGCCATCTTAATGTAAGAATACAGAGATAGCCTCAACGCATCATATGCACGCCAGTATTCGCGGTGTAATGGGCATAAAATCACACCCCAGGCATTACAAGCTAATTCTAAACATTGTTTTTTTAAATAGTTAAACAAACTAGCGAGATCGCTGCGCCGCTTTGAGGAACAGCCCACTCGCACCGGCTTGTATCTGATGTAGTAATAGTTACTAGTACCATTTTTTAGAATGTCGTACTTATCTCCTCCTGAATTCAATCATAATTGCCTCGATACTGATGTTAAGTGATAAGTGATGTTATGCATTCAATCAGAAATCCAGACGAAACGGACAGACATACGGACTTTAATTTTATTGTTTAGGATTCAAGCGCTCTTTTAAAACGACAGGACCCGAAAACCATCGTAGCTTACTCAGGCAAGGCTGTTTCTCGTCGCATATACTACGCCCGCTGCAGCATCTGCGTGTGATGTGTACGACTAGAGCTCTTGGCGTCCGCAACGCGAACGTGGTTAATTGGGTTAGTGTAGGTCGACCCAGACTCCGTGCTATATATCTTGGCACAATTATCTTGTAACTGACCAAAGCAATGAACAAATTGTTGAAACACTGTGCACAGCCTTCATTATAGTGTGTACTCTCGACATTTGTTATACTCGTCTAAAGTGAATGCTTACCAGCACTATAATAGCCCTCATTGAGAAGTCCTGCAGCTAACTATACCAACACGGTCATTATCTCTCGCTCTGCCCGCAATATGCAAGGCTGTCTTGCAATATGCTGGCTGGCAATGTCCTGGACGAATATATAATCTCCACCACGCCGAACAACTTCGTGAGCACCATCGACATGGACACTACTGTCACTAGAGATGGCATCTCGACAAACCGTGCGTTCGTAATGGAACGGAGTTCCGTGATTTTGTTTTTGAAACACATAGTTTCGTGCAATCCTCTCAAAGAAACTTTTAATTTTGCTCAATCACTTTCGAAGTTTTCAGCCCATATGCTGCTTCATAGTTCTGACTATTTGACTGTAAACGTCGTGTGCATCATGGCATCAGCGCTGCAAGTGTTTGCAGTGGAAGGCATCACCCGCTCCATCTTCTTTTATCTGGATCTGTCGAGTCTCGACTTCTTGTTGCACGTGTTCCAAGCGACGTCGGAGCTGCAGGGATATCTGCAGGACAGTGCGCTGTGGACGGAATTGTCAATTCTGCACTTCAAAGGCCAGCGTGACTTAGAGCTGCGGTTCTTGGCACTACCAACGCGAGATCGAGGCTGGGAGTGGACAGTCAGAGAGCGCACATGTGTGGAGCTACAGGAATTTCTCCAGTCCATGGACGAGCGGACGCAGTTCGACGGGACTGTCAAAATTCTGGAAGGTGACATTGGCTACATAAACGGCATCGACAGGCAACCTTTAGACGGTATCGCGTTCCCCACCAATTCGCACTTAACCAACCACTATGTGGGCGCAGCTCAAGCTGTGTTTCGTCGTGCAGGTCGTGGCCTGACTGACCATGTGAACGATCCTTCCTTTCGTGGTCGACGCCCCACGGGCTCCGCTGTGGCCACTCCAGCATTTG